CAAATTGTCAAAAAGAAAAATCTTTTCAACGCCGTTCCTACACAAATAGCTGATGATAGAGGCATAAGAGCATATTTTTCTCAACCCTTTTGGAAGCCTTTCAGGCTCGGATCTCACGAAAAACTATCCGCTAAGGACAAAATTTACTGTGAGCTTCCCTATTTTGAATATAAAGATGGTGTTTATGATCCTGGAAAGTTCACTGAATTTTCAAACTCAATTTTTCATTTTTTGAGCAACGAAATCGCTTATCAGCCATGCTTTATGGGCGAAGAGATTCCTCTAATTTCATATCTGGATTCCCTGACGTTTCGGGTGATGCCAATGCTAGAAAAATCCCAGTCATTGGATCTCGAAAAAATGGGCTTTCTTTACAACTTTTTCACCAAAACACTGCGTTTATTGGAGTATGAAAATGATCTGTTTATGTACCAAAAGGCTCTGATTTTAGTTGAGATTTTCAAAACCTACAAAAAAATATACATTCGACATCTAAAGGTCTCTCTGAATAACGATGAGCACAAGTTTAAGCTTATCAATGATTCGATTTTTGAAAAACTATCACTCTCTTTTTCATATTCAAGTGAAATCGATCTTCTCGGAAGGACCTTGCCAATTGGTTCAAAAAGCATTCAATTTCTTCCGGAAGATACAAAAATTACCTATAACCTGGTCTCTATATTGTTTAAAAACAGCAAAAAGCTTCCGAATCCATATGAAATGGGAAAGTTTTTCAAATTGAATCTGATCAATTATTGGAGAAAAGATCTTGATTATAAGACAGAGCATTTTGAAAGGATAGCATATATCTTGACCGTAATTGCGAACCCTATTAGCGTTGAAAACCCTAACCAGCGTGTGCTTCCAGAAACCTTCTTACTTGACCCACATTATTACAGTCTTTTCCACATGCTTTGTAAAGCATCACGTCGTCCTACTGGCAGTGAGCTTGTTTTATCTCCAATTATTCCCCTGGATTTTAAAAGTTCCATTAATACTAAGCGCCATTTCCATCTTAAAGCAGATGGTTACAATAAAACTCAAGAAATCTCATCACCATTGTCGAAAGAAAAAACACCTCTGGACTTGATGAATTTTAATCACAAATTTTCATCCGTCTTTTATTTCTTGACTTACCTCCAAGAAGATCATGCTTTCATCTTATCTGAGGCTGGAATGGAAATCGTTTATACTTTCATCCTCAAAACATCGACATATATTGATGATGACTCGAAAAAGGCTCTACCTTTAGCTACCAAATATTTTTTATTTCAAAAGGATAAAATTCTCGGAGAAGTTTCGACGCATAAAGATGACATTCAGAGGTTTAGGCTATTAGCAAATTATCAGATTATTCTCAATCGCTTGATGTCAATTCAAAAGAGCGACCTTGAAATTGGTGGTCTTGAGCATGCTTTCTCGGGAAAATTTCAGCCAATTTTCGCCTTTATCAAGCTTAATATGCTGATAGTTGAGGAAAAGTTTTCCGGGCTGCAGAATAGCCAGGATCTATATTTGTCGGTGATATCTAATTTTG